ACAGCACCGGGGCTGGGAGGGGGAAGGGGTGTTGCTAAGGGAGAGTGGCTGCAGGTTTGCAGCCGCCCTAAACAGCAGCTGGATTCCTCAACTGCCAGGACACAACAGTGAAGGTCTGTTGGGCCCAGGGGATCATTATAATAGCTCTTGGGCCTTCCTACAAATGCCATGAGTTACAGTGGTAAGCTGCTCTTCTGTCTGTGCCTTCGGTAGCCAATATTTGGCTGTTCACAGGGGATTTTTGGCCCTTACACACCATAGGAAATTCTGTTTTTGGACACATATCTCTGTATACATGGACAACAATGGGCAACTATATGCAGTAGCAGCTATAATATGTATCTGCTTCCCTTCTAGATGCATAGCAAACTGAGACAGCTGAAAATGGAGGTGGCAAAACACACATCTACTAGACTTGGGCTCAGGAACAGAAACATACTCTGCCTCCATCCCCTTTTGTCACTACAGCACTCACCTGGGAAGCCAGAAGTCCCAGGTTCTATGCTCAGCCTCACCCCAAGGTTTTAAAACAGGGCGGCTCTTACTTCCCAACACAGCACTCTAACCATCACAGGTCAGCCATTATCCAGTCCTTTCTTCATCACTCCTTTTGTAGCTGAGCCACTAATGTAGCCAAGAGATTGAGCTCCTAGGCTAGGGAGAGATATTACGCATAAACCAGCTTAAGTGATCAGAAACTGGTTTAAACATGTAACAGAACAGATGTTCGGTGCACATAAACCAGTTTGAGAATGGCTGAAACTGGTTTGAGATAAACCTGACTGAATGTAGTATCAGACTCAACTGATTTGGCTCAAACCAGTTTATGCAATGTCTGTCCCAGACCTCTTGGTGGTTTAAGATAAACCACACCCCCTCCGCATCCCAGCATGCTCTTGGGCTGGGTGGGGCTCTCTGTTCCACAGCAGAGCTGGCTCTTCCCCTCTGCTCTCTAGTCAGAGCAGGGGCAGGGTGTGGCCAGACACCTCTTCCCTGCTTCCCCTCTCCCCCTCTCTCTCTCCACTGGCAAACCCTGGGGACTGCAGCTGCTGTTTGCCAGCCCTACCTCCATGGCTTGCCTGCAAACAGGCAGGGACAGAGTTAATCACTCCCTCTGTCCCCCCTCTCCCCCGGAATGCCAGGGCCTTGGCTGCAGTCCATGTGGCTTGCACAGTGGTCCCGAAGCAGGGGAGAGAAGCAAGCAGATCTATGCGCAGTTCCAAGCCCTGCTGCAGCCCCGAGCCCACAGCTAAGACTTGCCGGGACAGACTGAGAGGTGGAAAGTGTTGGCAAAGATCTGAAAATCATCAGTGATCACACATGCTGGAGATTTAGTTAAGACAAGCTGCACCAAAGAATGCAGAAAGCTACATTTATATTAAAAAGCAGAACATGTAAACAAAGCCTTTGAGAATGCCTGGCTGTAAGGATACACTGTACCCTCAGGATTAGTAAAACTAACTCTTATCTTTCTGGTTTACATTTTCAGTTAGTGTAAGCTGTGTATGCTGTGTTTTACTGGGCTGTATCTTAGCTTAGGTGAACATTTTTGGTAGTTCCCTGTTGTATGCTTTGCAAATTGCTTTATTCAATACCTTGCTTCAGAGAAAGGACTTTTTCCCCATCCCCTGTGTGCTAGCCTTGGCGGGTGCCTGGCTATGCCCCCTCTGCTCCAGCAGGGTGGGGTGAGAGTCTCTCTTCCCTCATTTTTGGCAGTTGCTGGCAGGCACGCTCTAGTACCCCCTGGCTTCTGGCATGGGCCTGCATTTCCTGGTTTAATAGAGCATGTCTATCCACCTTTTAATCACTTTAAACTGCACAGCTTAGGCTAACCTGCAAAGAGTGAATCAATTCAGGCTTGGCCTTTTTTAATGTCTGTCCCTAGCTCTAGGCTCTTTCACTGCAAAGTGTGTTTTCCAGTCCTTTCATTGTTTTCATGGCTTTTCTCTTTCCAATTTATCCACACCCCTCTTGAAGCATTGCCACAATATTGGACACATTATTCCAATGTTTGCACAGTGCCAAATACAAACGTAATATAATCTCTCCACTTCCATTCAGTATTTCCCTGTTTATACACACAAGGATCATATTACCTTTTTGACCACACGGATGTATGGGGAGCTCAGATTCAACTGATTACCCATTGTGAACAAATCCAACTTAGATGGAGCAAAGTACAAGGGGAAGAACTTTTTCCCATATTGCCCAAATGGGCCCATGCTAGAACCCAGGGCCCCCTGCCTTCCAGGCCAGTAGTCTTCTTGCTGAACTGCACACTCCAGCTCTCTCTCCCCTACCTGACACAGGAGAAGCACTGGGGCTGGATGGTGGGGCTCTGCAGGACATATCTAGCCTGCAGGCCGAATTTTTGATGTCACTGTTCTACAGGCATCCAAAAAATAGCCAATTAGATGACCAGGAAAGAATACAATGTCACTCTTACTCAGTTTATTGAAAAAAGAACATTAGTCTTCCAAACCATAATACAAAAACTTAAAGTAAGTTAAGGATATGTAAAACAAGACAGAAAACAGAACCTGATATTTTCATTTGATTTGGCACTCAATGAACTTCTCAGGCTTTGGCAGCTCTGCTATTTTCATTGAGAAACCTACTAGGTGACAGACAGTTACAAGCTTGTCACAGGAGGAATGGTTTTCAATCAATTTTATGAAGTTTGGAAGACTTGTACCAATGTTCTGATCTATTCCATTTCTTTGAAGTACATTACAAGCTTTTGGTAATACATGAAGTTTGGGCATAGCTTATACTTGGCAATTATTTTTAACTGCATTTATGGTCATATAGCTCTCATGATCAGTCAGTTACTATGACTTAATATGCAATAAGCACACTCAGACAGTTATAGTTTAAAATAATGTTCCTATATTAAGCCATTCTTGGAAAAAGTTAACCAAATTGATGCTCTGAAATCATCCCTATTTAAAAACAGCCTATGAAAGTGTGCAGGATATATGCATTGAGCCCTAAATCACCTTAGAACCAAAGTTTGAATTACTGCTGAACTTTGGTCCATGTTTTCAAAAAAAATCTGCATTTCGAAAAACAGTTGCTTAAAACATTTGTAACATGCCAATCCCAACTACCTACTCTCAGCAACTCTTTTTGTATCCATATGATATGGACCCAATGCCCTGTAAGAAGTTCCCTTAAAAATTAGAGCTCATGAAATTCAGAGCTGGAAGAATAATCTGCTATCTTGTTTTGCTTCAAGGGATCCACTCTGAACATTCTATTTGCAAAGCCATCATGAACTGCATCCAGCAGCATTCATACACCTCAACAGCCAAACAACATAATGACATCTCCCACCCACCACAATTTTAGTTTACCGACAGTGTGTCTTGTACAAAATGTGGGAAAAGATTTGTCCAAACTTTTATATCATGATGTTAGTATTACTAGAAAGCCACATATAAAAACATGGTTAAATTATTTAGGTTGTAAACACTCAGCACTCAAGAAATGCAATAATCAATGTTTTCCATTCATCTTTATTTCTGACTTGTGCATGTGCCTTCTGTTTCATCACTCCATGACATCTCCACACGAAGTGTTTTCTGTAGGATCTTTGGCTCATTCCATGAACAGTAGTGGTGTTCAAGAGAATGAGGCTGCTCAGCCTTGTTTTTTATTTTAATCACTCAATTTGTATCCCTGTGCCTGATTTATTGTACACCATCCAATCTCTGCATTGAATAAGGAATTAATTACTTCCTCAAGAGCTTTTTCAAGGTTTTGCAGTGTCTGTACACTGTAGTATCTGAGTATACAGTGAGCATTCCACAAACCTCACAAACCTTAGTAAATTTACCTTCACACCTCCCTTGCTAGGGACAAATCTACTGCTCTATTCTGGAAATAACTTGCTGAAAAGGATTATGATGGGTAATCACTTGAATCTGAACTCCCCATACATCTGTGTGGCCAAAAAGTTAATGTGATCCTTAGGTGTATAAACAGGCAAATACTGAGTGGAAGTGGAGAGATTATATTATCTCTGTATTTGGCACTGTGCAAACATTGGAATAATGTGCCTGGTATTGTGGCAATGCTTCAAGAGGGATGTGGATAAATTAGAAGGAGAAGAGCGATAAAAAACAATGAAAGGACTGGAGAACACACTTCGCAGTGAAAAAGCCTAGAAGCTCAATCTCTTTGATTTAACAGAAGTTTGATAATAGAGGGTTCTTAAAGCTAACAGACACAGGGATAAAATGCAATGGTTGGAGGTTGAAGCTAGACAAATTCAGACTAAAAACAAGATGGACAGGGGATTTTTCTTTTTAAATCAGTGAGGCTATTTAATCTCTGGAACAAGTTATCAGGGGTTATGATGGATTCTCCATCCCTGGAATTTTCTTTTTTAAAATCAATGGCAGGTCTTTTTTTAAAGTGATAAGAACAGAAAGGATTTCCCTGAAGCAGTAAATCACATACTATGCAGGACATCACACTGGATGATCAGAACAGTCCCTTCTGGCCGTATAACATACACACAGGCATAGAAAACAGAAAATGCACAACTTGAGACTTAACTTTATTTTAGCCCTTGCAACCAGAACTCCTCTGAAAGGAAGCGTATATTTAAAACATTTAGGTGTGTGAAAACACCATCGTGTACTTACTGTGAATTTTTCCAATCCCGTTGCTCCTGCATTTCCAACAAATATACCAGAGCTGGAGTCAAATTCCAAGGCCTGAGCTGACCTCTGAAACTGAACTCTCTGATATTCTTCACAGTCCATGAACAGAGCCATGTCATTTCCCTGAACAGTCACCGTAAACCGATTCCATTTGTTAGTCATCACTGGAACTTTAAACGAAGCAGCCTCTCGGGAAATGTGTGAACCAGGCTCTGTGTAGTACATGATTATTCTTTGGGTGCCATCATCAACTGGGGATAGTCTCATTCCCAAGTATATAGTTTTCTGGAAGGCATCTGTTATTGCAAATAGTACACCTCCATGGTTGCTGTTTGGTTTTACTGTCACTACAATAGCAAAATCTCTATAGAAAGGCTGTGGTATTAAAGCCCTTGTCAGGCGACCAATGTTAGCGTCGGGTCCAAAACTGTAAGCTGGAAATCCACCATAGCCAGTGATAAAGTAGACAGATGGTGGAAGTGGAACTCCTATTAGCTCTGTGAGATCTAGGTGACCTTTTGATCCCCGTTCTGCAGCGAGACAAAAATATAGATATATTACTTTATAATGCAAGACAATGAAAATTTAACAAAATAGTGTTGCAGAGCATAACATTACCAGCAGTGTGCTAATGTATCAGACCTTGATTCAGTTAGGAGCCTAAACACATCCCTAGCCCATGAATACTCTCACTGATTTATGGACCTAGTCACATGCTTAAAGTGAGAGACATGATGAAGCACTTTGTGGAATCAGACCAGGGCAGATCCAGGGGGATGTAGCGGTGCAACTGTACCCGCCTTTGGTCCTGTTACATCTAGACTTTAAAACCAACTGCCCGGGAAGGGCAGTGGCACTTCTACTGAGGCACTGCTGAGGGTGTCAACTGACTTCATGGGTCATTATAATCTACTCATTTCCTGCTAATCTCTGTTCACTCCACAGATATTAACAACCCTCTCTCCTTTTAATGGTCTTGATGTTCCATTAATCAAACTATCATTTCTGCAATTATGCTGTCTGTTAGCCATTCCTGATAATATCTCTCTTCAATTTCACAGCCCTGCAGACTGTTTTAAATTCAAGCTAAAAACCTTAACTCAGGTGTGGTAATTTTAACTCAGGTGAGGACATGAGTAACAGTGAAGGGTTGTATGTACCGTCAAGACACTCAAGAAGACTAGATTTTGTATTAAGAATCTAAGTAAACAATGTGCATTTAACTATAATGACTACAGAACTAAAGAAACAAAATATTTTGACTATTTTAGCCTAGTTTGTTGAGTTTAATATATAAGCTAGCAAATTTTTGCACATTTCAATAAAGTTGCACTAGTTTTGCTTTGATCTTAACCTGAACAGCATAGTTCTAAGACCTTATCATATTAGTAAGTCTTCTAGTTTCTTTTCAACTGTGGAAAAATATGTGGTGTGGTGTGGTGTGGTGTGGTGTGTGTTGATGTACCACACTATGTGCACCCCCATTTCAAAATCCTAGATCTACGCATGAACTGGACCACCTACAGTCAGAGGATATGATAAGGAGTATGGTATCTCACAGGATTTGCTCAAACTCTTGTTCGCCCTACAAGTTACATACTACAAGGTGTTTTGTTTTTATTGCCCTCACTTTTTCTCAATTTAAAAAATGCTGTCCCCCATGGTTTTCTTGTAGACATAGAAAATATCCTTCAATAACAAAAACTCAGCTTTGAAATCAAGGAATGTACACTCCAGGAAGCATACAGATAGATATAAAGAACTTTGCCAATATGCCCCAGAAGAAAATGTCTCCTAGGTGGTCAACCTAGACTCAACACATGTGAACAAGGATAATCAGAACTGAGCATTTCAAGAATCTGAGTAAGGAATCTGTTCCATCAGCATCTTTAGAAACAAAACTTTTCAAACACCAATCTTCTCCTCAGAGAGGAAATACTAAAAACATTATTACATTTTAATAACCAATTTCACAGCCAGGCCTATGAACTGCACTTCATCAGCCTCCTAGGTACAGAAACTCATGGACTCCATATAGACATTGGAATTCTGACACACTACAAACTGCCAGACATCTGACTCCCCAGGTACCTCTCCACCTTTACCTGTGCTGCTACATCCCCCTTTCCCTCCCCACCCTAGCCTGTCCCTCATCCCCTGATGCCTCCATTTCCATTTTCACTGACTGGCTTTCTTGCCTGAATTGCATGCCAGCCTCTGGCTTCTTTACTATTCCTTCCATCCAGAAACAGCACACACACAGCCCAACTGCGGGTGCTTCCTCAGCCTGACGAAGGGTTTTTCAACCTGAAAGCTTGATAAAATACATTTCTCTAACTATTCAGTTGGTCTATTGAATAGATACCAGATTGACACAATTGACCTTGTCTGCCAGTGCCAAGTCCTTAGACCAATCCTAGTGGGGTGCAGGGCCCGGGGCAAATCAGCCTGTGCGGGGGCCCCTTAACACTACGTGGGACCATGGCACCCCTGCAAAGGGAGGTGGGGTCTCTGGGCTTCTTCCATGGCATGGGGCTGAGCCACCAGCTCCAGGCAGGCCCCACGGGAGGGGCTGCGGCCACTCTGCCCAGCTTTGTGGGGCCCCCCAAAGCATGGGGCCCAGGGTGGTCACCCCGATTTGCCTTACCCTAGGGATGGCTCTGATAATGATTTTGGATTTTTCTCATATTTTGACTCCCTGAATGGCTTTTTTTGGTCCTTTTTTTTGCTTTCTTGAAAACTGGATAAATCTGGTACCAGGCAAAACTAACAAACTTTATGAATGTGAATTTTATTTGAAATCCAATATACACACACCCCTCCCCCCAGTTAGAAATGTAAGGAAGAGTGGGGGCAGAGGAAGGCTGGGAAAATTGGTGTTAAACAGACAGGAAATTCAAAGCAATTGAGGTGATGGGAATTTGCATTTTAGATTGTCAAACTCTTTTGAAATATCAGAGGGAACTGGGGATGTATATTAGCAGAAAGTAGGAGAATGGTTACTTTGGCCAGCAGCAAGCTCAATCAGGACTAGTGGGTAGGGGAGAGGGGCAAGACAACCCCTTCTCTTACCTAAGAGATAAATCCAATAAATGTAATGTGAATTGTCTCTCCCTTCTTATCAAAGTAGAAATTAGCAAAAACTGAACAGAAATCTTTTCTAGCCATAGAATATACCTTAAATTTGCTGGATATCTGATCAATTCTGTTTTTGTTGGAAGATCCTTTTTCCTCCATCATGGAGCTCTCTTGATATGAGGTTATATTTTAAATGCCTGCCTCTGCAAGGAGTAACATTTAAGTCTCTACCAGTATATGGGACTGAGATATGGGTGGTCATGGTAGGCCACCTGGGTGGTGGCAAACTGTAGTCAGGGGCTGGAATCAAAGTGGACAACTGAAGTCAGAAGCTGAAATAAAAGAGTTGGGGTTAGAGAATCAGAGCCAGGAGCTAAAATCGGGAGATAAAGCCAGAGTTGAAGAATCAGCATCAGGGGCCTGAGTCAGGAGCCAAGATTGAGACCTAAGCCAAAACCAAAGCTAAATGTAATTTGAGCACGTCTTGGCAGTCTTTACCCAGACAGCTTGCTGCTGTTTGCTCCAGGCTTATAAAGGCCAGTGTAGGAGAGGTTCTCTTCCTGTAGCCCTGGGGGATGACTCAGACTAAAACTTAAATACTTCCACCTACAGCAGGGGTGTCCAACCTTTTTGAATGTGGGGCCAGATCATGAACTATTTATCACCCAGTGAGCTGGCAGGAGTGGGCGCTCGTGCGGCCTGTCCAGTCTGGCCGTGGCCTGGGGGCGCAGGGGTCAAGGGGTGCCGCCTGCCCCCGCAGTGTCCCAACTGCCACTTGGGTGGCCTCAAGGATGCTCCCACACCTGCGCGCCTGGGCTCAGCAGCCAGGGGGACATGTGGGGACTCTACAGGGGGGTACGGGATGTGCAGGGACAACCCCCTGCTCCCTCTCCCCCGGGGCAACCCGAGGCCAAGTGGCAGGGGTCCCTCCCCACCTGGGGCCCACAACTCGCCACCCCCAGCATGATGTCTGTGGGCGCGGGGGGATGTGGGGAGGCAGGAGCGGCGCCGGCTTCCCGCTCCGACAGCCACAGCAGTAGCAGCAGCATCTCCCACAGGCCTGACTGCAGCATCCCTCCGAGCCGGCATCCACACCCCCTGCATCCGCCCGCCCGCTGCACCACAACTTCCTCCAGCCCACGCAGCCAGCGGGGCTGGCATGCAAATGAGGAAGGGAGGGGCAGGACTAGGAACAGAAACCCTGCAATGTTGGAGAGGGGAGGGGCTGGCATGCAAATGAGGAAGGGAGGGGTGGGGTGAGGAAGGGACACAGTGAAATGAGGGGGGAGGGGAGAAGCCATACCACGTCGGCAACATCAAGCTGCTGCGGTGCGTGTGGGAACCTTGTCCCTTCCCCAGCCCTTCAGTAGCCATTAGGAAGCTTCTGAGGGGCTGAGGGAGGGACAAGGGGTGGGAACGAAAGTAAACAGTGTTTACTTTCGTTTCCCGTCACAGCACTGCAGACCTCAGAAAATGGCTTGGCAGGCTGCATGGTGGCCCGTGGGCCATATGTTGGACAAGCCTGACATACAGCCTGAAACTGGGTCACCCTCAGCTGGGCCTAGGACAACCAGGCACCATGATTTAAGCCAGGGCTGTCCAAATTCTAAGCAACGGCAGGCCAAATGCCCTATAAGTCACACCCAGCAGGGGCAGAAACATCCACACGCCACATCAGTGCAAGCCACATTTCTCCAGACTGCACACTATGCAGATGCCCTCCCTCCCCCAACTGCTGCAAACTCTCTCACTAGCACACCACCACTGCACCATGCACCTGTCTTGGGGCTCCCCCCCTCTGCACTGCTCTACCACACACCAATGCTGTGCAATGCTGTGCAATGCTGTGCACACCATTATACCATGTGTGCAAGAAGTCCCAGACTCACGGTCAGCTTCCCGTACCATCACTCATGGGGAGAGGCAAGAAGCAGAAGCTGGGGAGGCAGTGAACCCTGAGGAGGGTGATAGACAGATGGGAGCCCAGGGGCTGCAAATTAAAGCCTAGTGGACCACCAGTTGGACAGTCCTTTGGACCTGATGTGTCACTGACACTCCTGTTTAAAATCTTAATTTTTACAATGAGAGATTAATAAAACTCATTTTTGAACCTGTACATTAATTCTCCACTGGACAAATCCATTCAACTACATTTTAGGTCTCTCCTGTGGGTCAATTCTTTCTGTTCAGGTACACACCACTCTTTCTATAGGATGTCATCATTCAGGAACTCTCTCTCCAGTGCACTTCAAATTGGTAGAAAATTCCTATCTTTACCTAGTCCTAATCTGTCCCTTTGAAGCTGGATATTCCTCTTATTGTAGGCTTATTATGGAAATAAAATTGTACTTTAGCTGCCTTATGCTCTTTCCTGAAAAACAGTTATTCTGTATAAGGCTTGGAACTGCACTTGAAAATGACTGCACAGAAGGACCTATGTATACTAATTAGT